GCCCCGCGCCATGACCGCCCCGGCGCTGCTGCCCCTGTCCGGACGGAGGATCCCCGCCCCGAGCCTGGGGCCGCCCGCCTTCCCGCACCACCGCGCCACGCTGCGCCTCTCGGAGAAGTTCATCCTCCTCCTCATCCTCAGTGCCTTCATCACGCTGTGCTTCGGGGCCTTCTTCTTCCTGCCGGACTCCTCCAAGCACAAGCGCTTCGACCTGGGCTTGGAAGACGTGCTGATCCCCCACGTGGACGCCGGCCGGGGCGCCCGGGACCCCGGCGTCTTCCTCATCCACGGGCCGGACGAGCACCGGCACAGGTGTGTACCGGCCGGGGGCGCCGGGTGGGTCCCGTCCGTCCGTCCCTCCGCCGCCTCACGTCAGGGCTGTGTGGGCCTCCGGCTCAGTGCCCCGGGCCGGGTTAGGGGAGGCGGACGCACGGCGAGAGCCCCACCGGGGAGCGGGGCGCGTCCGCCCGCGCCGCCACCCGCGTGAGATTCGGGCATTGGAAACGCGGGGGGGAGCTTTTTTCCACCCCGGGGGGCGCGGCTGGCCGGGTCCCCCGCGGACAGGACGGGGCCGGGGCTGGGACGCTCCAGGTCGCCTGCCGTCCTCGGTCCCCGGCCCCTCGCTCCGTCAGCCCGGTAGCCGAGCTGGAGGGTGGCTATTTCTACTTCTCCCTCTGAACTCTCGCCGGGACCCGGAGGCTGCGCCCTCCTGAGAGTTCGGGCTCGTAAAACCCGCCCTCGTGGTTTCTGGAAGTACTTCTTGATGGCAGAAAGCACGCACGTTCTTGATCTCGGTTGCAACTTCTCGCAAGCTCGCGGATTCTGAGCGGGATCCGGCTCAGATGCCGGTCTGCCTTACACGCATCCGCTGCCGCCGCGAGAGCTCGTTTTCTTTTTCTCAGCCTTCTTAATGTGTTGTTTGGTTGATGGTGGTTGAGGGTTGGACTTTCTGGAGAGCCCGGCACGGGGGAAGGCAGAAGAACTGGAAAGCAAAGCCTCCTGTGGCCCAGAAACCTTGAGGACACTATGGTGTCTTGAGGGAAGGGGGGAGAGAGAAAGGGAGGGAGGGAGAAGTGAACTGGCCAAGGCCCGGGCGGCCTGTAAGATTCCGTGTGACTTGGGCAGTAGCTCTGTGGATCACTTTCCTTGCACAGGTAGTTCACGCCTCAGGAGGCTGAGATCTGAGAATTGAGGTTTGAAGTCAGCCAGGAGACTCTTGACTCCAATTAACCACCAGAAAGCTGGAACAGTGGTTCAAATGATAGAGTGCTAGCCTTGAGCAAAAAAAAAGCTCAGGGACAGTGCCCAGGCCCTGAGTTCAAGCCCCAAGACAGGCGTGGGAAAAATTTTTTTTTTTTACAAAAGTTGTGTTGGTTGCTAGCATTCACAAATGAGATTTATTATAAAATTCTGGATTTCTGATTTCTATTAAAAATGAAACTAGTGTAACACTTTTAAGTCTGTATTTTCAGATGGTAACAGTCGGAATCTGTCAGCAGCTGCTCCTCTTAAGGAGCATGTATGTGCTTCCCATTCTATGCTGCTCAGGGTGTCAGGGAAGTAAGTAGAGTGAACAACCGTGTTTCATCCTTCAGTCAGAATTGTGTCTGAATTGAGATCAGATATGTTGACCTCTGATCCTTTCTAAAAGTGGGGAAAAATACAGAATTGAAGTAAGGACCTAAAGTTGAATGTTGGTTCTGCACATAGTTATGTGACATTGAACAGGGATATGTTCCTGTAAGCCTTCATTGGCCGGCCTGGTATCCACTAGTTGTGTAAGGCTACTGCACTTGAAATTAGTGCCTTAGAGTTTCCCAGGTTGTTCAGGTCATGATTGGTGTGTGTATGTGTATATGTTTACATATATATGTATTTGATGTATTTATATATAATATATACCATTTTCCATTTTTAGTACTCGAGAGATTTTAAATTTCACAGTTTTAATTTTAAATTGCAGATTTTAAATTACAGTTCCAATTTTCTCACCATCTTTACACATTTAATTTCTATGCCTTTCCTTCATCCTGTTCTTTCTGTTGTTTTGAGACAAAAGTCTGTCTTCATAGCCCAGGCTGATCTCAGACTCGGTGATTTTCCTGTCTCAGCCTCTTAAGTGCTGGGAGTACAGTTGTGTATGAGCATGCTGTGCGCCTTTACCTTTAAGGTTCTCTGTTCCAGAGGGTTGGGGCAATTTTGTTGTTTTATCCTCAAGATATTGGATATTCAGTTATTCTTGTAATGTATTCCTTCTCTTTTGGCTCATGGCTATTTTTCCTACTTTACTTACACACGTGAAATTGATAGTAGGACCTATTCATATTTAACATTTGCCAACAACAGACTGGTGTAGATGTTTTGGCTGTATTGTTTTTTTGGTCTTTGGATAATAGTATTGAGTGAATTCCCTTTTCCTCTCTATTGCTGGAGAACAAGTTGGTCTGTACAGTTCTTAGACTATTTTATTCTGTTCTGATAATGCTAGCATCTTTGGCAGTCTCCACTGTTTGCATTCTGGAGTATGTCTTTATACAGTTCCCAGATTCAAAATACAGCTGTCAGAATGGGTAGTCACTTAGTCTTTTTGTCTTGTGTCACACCAGTCAGAATGCAGTTGTTTATCCTACTTATAAGACCCTCCCTTTTAAGACGCTCCAAAGGGTGCTGTGTGGGCTGGGAATGTGGTTCTGTGGTAAAGTGCTTGCCTAGCAAGCATGAAGCCCTGGGTTTGATTCCTCGGTATCACATACACAGAAAAAGCCAAAAGTGGTGCTGTGGCTTAAATGCTAAGAGTGCCAAAAGAAGCTCTGGGACAGTGCCTAGGCCCTGTGTTCAAGCCCCAGGTCTGGCAAAAAAAAAAGTGAAAAAGGTTAGCCAGGTTTCAGTGGCTCACGCCTGTAATCTTAGCTACTCAGGAAGCTGAGATCTGAGGCTCACGGTTTAAAGCCAGCCTAGGCAGGAAAGTCTACAAGACTCTCATCTCCAGTCAATCAACAGAAAACTGCAAGTGGCACTGTGCGCTTGCCTTCAGCTGAAGAACTCAGGGACAGTACCCAGAGTTTCAGGCTCTGAGTTCAAGCCCCACAACCTACCAAAAAAAAAAACTCCAAAAAACAAAACAACCAACAAAACAAAAGGCACTGTGTGATAACATAAGAATTTCCAATGCCCATCAGGTAGCTCACGCCTGGAATCATAGCTACTCAGGAGACTGAGACCCAGCACCACAGTTGGAAGTCATACTGGGCAGAAAAGTCTACAGGACTCTTATCTCCATTTAATCATCAAAAAGCAAAGTAGAGCCATGGCTCAAGGGGTAGAGCATCAGCTTTGATTGAAAAAGCCAAGTGAGAAGGTGAGGTTCTAAGTTCAAAAGCCCCAGTAATGGCATCCTCCCTCTTCCACTCCCCCCCCCCCCACACACACACATACACACACTGTAAAGGGAAAAGGGAAGCTGTGCACTGCTATGGTTGTGTGGTGGTCTCTGTCCCTGCTTCCCATGGGCTAGACCATTGAGTCTCAGATCTGGAACAATGGGACTGGGAAAGAGTTTGGGCTTGTTTCTGGAAGTGAGGACCAGATACCGTTACAGATGAGTGAAGAGTTCTTCTGATGCTCACATTTACTTCCTGAGGGCTGCCACCCCCCCTTTTTTTGTCGGTTGTGGGGACTGAACTTTGGGCCTGGGTGCTGTCCCTCAGCTCTTCAGCTCAAGGCTAGCGCTCTACCACTTGAACCCAGGGCCTCATGCATGCAAGGCAAGCATTCAACCTCTGAGCCACCTTCCCAGCGCAAGGCTGCCCTTTTGGTAGTCTAAAGTTTTTTGTTTTTCTTTTAAATAATTTTCTGTCCCTTTAAAACAAGTTATAATAATGTGGAAGAGGCTGTATATGAAGACTGCTCATTGAGTGACACTTTGTATACTCCTTGTTTTGGTAGTATGGGGTTTGAACTCAAGACCTCTCACTTGCTGGATTTATTTGCTTGGCTGGTACTCTTATTTATTTTTTGGGGGGTTCGGTCGTGGGGTCTGAACTCTGGGCCTGGGTGCTGTCCCTCAGCTCTTCAGCTCAAGGCTAGCGCTCTACCACTTGAGCCACAGCGCCACTTCTTCCAGCTTTTTTCTTTTTGCTTATGTGGTACTGAGGAATCGAACCCAGGGCCTCAGGCATGCAAGTCAAGCTCTCTACCACTGAGCCACCTTCCCAGCCCCTTGGCTAGTACTCTTATCGGAGCCACACCTCCAGCTTGGCTTTTATGATGGTTCTTTTAGAATCTCATGAACTAAGGACACCCTACTCCCCTTCCCAACTTAACCTCAAATCATGATTCTTTGAATCAGGTGAGCTGTTGGCCCATCCTCCTAAGTAGCTAGGATTATAAATGTTAGCCACTGGTGCTAACATTTTGTATGCTGTGTGTGAGTGTGTGCGTGTGTGTGTGCGCGCACGGTGGTACTGAGCTTGAACACGGGACCTCATGCTCTTGCTCACCTTTTTCATTCAAGGCTGGTACTCTGCCTCTTGGGCCACAGCTCTACTTCTGGCTTTTTACTGGTTACAGCTAAGAATCCTGTGGGATTTGTCTGTCTGGGATGGCTTTGCACCCAGATGGCTTTGCTCCATCTCCTGAGCAGCTAGTATCACAGGTGTGAGCCACTGAGGCCTTGCCTATTAGGTAGTCTTTAAGTTTTTTAAAAAAATGCATTTCTGGGGGCTGGGAAGGTGGCTCAGTGGTAGAGCGCTTGCCTTCCATGCCTGAGGCCCTGGGTTCAATTCCTCAGCACCACATAAGCAAAAAGAAAAAAGCCGGAAGTGGCACTGTGGCTCAAGTGGTAGAACCCTAGCCTTGAACTGAAGAACTGAGGGACAGCGCCCAGGCCCAGAGTTCAGGCCCCACGACCGGATCCCCCCCCCCAAAATGCATTTCTTAGGTATTAATTTAAAGGAGTTTACAATCATTTGCTTACCTGTTCCTCCCAGTAGAACAGACTCCTTGAGGACAAATGGCTATATGTTTATATTTAGCTTTGTGTTTCCAATGTCTGCAGTACATTTGGTCCTCTGTAAAATCATGTTCCTGCTGAAGAAATGTCCGTGGCAAGGTGAGACACTCCGTAAGTGGAGGGCTGAACACAACGTTAGGAAGAGGGGAGGCTGCTAAGGCAGGTGCTGGGGAGAAGTAGACCATCTTTCATGAAAGAAAGATTAGACATCATTCATGTTAGTCCCCTGTAATATAAACATTCCCGAAAATGTGTCTAATATATATGTTATACTCTACAATGAATTTATCCTGGAAGAAGA